AGTATTAAAACAAACAATCATTGTTTTCGAATATAGAAGATAAACAGATTTAAATCAGTTTCATTTTTTATGATTAATACATAATCTGGTTGAAAATGATCGACGTGGAGTTATTTAGTAACTGTAGGCTAAAATATGAACGTCATTCGTTAATTATGTATATTTTTTTGGTTTTCAAAGCTATTTAATTACCCTTATGATTTTGTCATTCACTGCTTTTGACAAGAAAGTGTTTACACTACACCCTGATCTCCGCGTTCCCTTTTAGTTGGCCTGACGGTTATCCATAGTCTCTCATCCCCACCCCCTCACATGATCCCCTCCATGTCACCTTCAAACAATCATAATTTCTCGCTTCGGTTCTACTCGGGTGATAGCCTGGCGCAGCATTACATTCGACAGTGTCCCCAGTGTGTGTGCATCCAGTCCATCACTATTTTCTTCGAGATATTTGCCGACGAACAGGTTCGTTCCCAGAGTTTCTTGTCGCTTATTGCTTCTAACTGTGCCTAAGTGTAAAATAGTATTTAAAAGGCTTGTTCACTGATAAAGCTATGAAAGAAGAAGTCGCTTAGCTGAAACGATATCCTCTGCGTAATAAACTTTCAGTGATACAGCACACAGTGACTTAGTGTTATTTATTGGATGATATTTCGAAATAATTTCTGTGAAAATAATAATTCTTTAGCATTTTGGATCGAAACGTACGGCTTCAGCAGCTCATTTCCATTGCACTCCGTTTCCTGCTATCAGCTATGAGCAGGCTGTAGAACTGCTCACAAGCTTTCCTGTACTCTTTACTTGATCTTGATATCACAGTTGGACCCCCAGTCTCAGATCTATTCCAGGGCTTGATCTTTGATACAGACTGTCATAGTGATTCACTACACTTAAATGATCTTGCTTATTAATTTACATCAACTTTGAGTAAATAGGGCAGGAAAGTACAGAATGATATAAAAGTAGAGCTTTCACAAGAATCACTTAGGCGTCACAGAATGCAGACAACCCTCAATCGTTAACCTTGGATTAGATATCTCTCTCTGTCTCTCATTTGGGCAATCTTGTCAACCACAATCATCGCATATTTTCCTAACAGTACCATCAGTAGATAAATAAAGACATTGTGTAAGAAAGCCTAGTGATAAAAACATTTTCAAGTATTGGCTTTTGTAGGAATTTGATTGATTGGCTACAGGATTTCATCATGGGCTGACGGCAGTTAGAGAAACATTGGAAAAAACCTGGGAGTATTGGACAGCCAACTGTTTCATCAGCTCAGTTTGGGACTATTCAGCAGTACTCGCTCACAGCAGGCGTTCGAACCCACGACCTGGTCACCTAGAGCTCTAGTAGGAAGTCGTGACCAGTAGGGTACAGCAGGTCAGTTGTGAGGATGAATACTCGCCGAAGACAGTGGCTAGTGGCTACGCTATGTTGCCGACTGGCAGAAGTTAGAATTCATGGACCGGCCATTGGATTGGCGAGTTCCAGTGGCTTAATGGTCTACGAGCTCGCTGGCCTAGTAACCAGAAGGTCCTGGGTTCGAACCCAGTCCCAGACCAGGCTGACAAAACAGTTGGCTGTCCAGCACTCCCTGGTGGTTTTCCAGTGGTTCTCTAACCGATGTCAGCTCATGATGAAATCCAGAAACATTTTCATTTGTTGCATATACCCTCTCATCTACGATTTTATAACCAAAGTAAATACAATAACAAATTCAGAGTTAAAATATCCTTGTGATAAAATTGTATGTTTGATTAAATATAATACAATAAAAAAAATAAAAATTCGAAAGATTAACTTTAAACAAACATTCCCAGTATACTCCTTGAAAACTGAAGTGCTAAATTGTGTTTACACCTTTTGTTTTCTTAAGAAACTATCCACTTTTGAGAGGTGCACTGAATTATTTTCCTTAAATTCAAATCTGTTGATTAAAGTATTTGGTGGATGCCAAAAGAGATGCAAACAAAACGTTATCTCTTTTTTTTAACAGCGTATTTAAACGTTACAGTTTATTTCAGAGTGAAATGATTCACTGAACTTCACTCATTGTTCTCTTGTCAATACTATCAACATTTACCGTAAGTGAGTATATGGTGGCCGTGAAAGTAACGCGTTCATTATATATCTTTGTACTGAATTTACAATGTAGTAAATCTTGTGTGCTATATAAAAAGTCTCATTTTCGACATTATGAGTGTAAGGTTGGTTAATTGTGCTAGTTCAACGCCACTGAATCAAAGCACTGATCAGCTTGAAAGCATTCCATTCATTACAGCTCCAGTGTGAATCCTGTGTATAAACTTACATGCGGATATCACCATGATCTTGTTTTAAATACTGTTTGGACAACTGGTTGATGACATTTTAGGGGCAAAGTTAAACTTTAGGCACCACTAACTACCAATCAGCGAATGACGTCGAAAGCACCAATTACGTGGTGGAGGCATTTTCGTGTATGGAATACATATATTTACGAAATAATGCATAAAAACTGTAGAAAAGTGTTACAGAGGATAACTTGCTCTCACATATTGACAAAAATAGCTCTCGGTTTTAGGTTGGAGTATCAACAAAGTATAATTCCATTGTGGATAAAATTTATTTTGATAAATTCTCAAAGTGTAATACGATGATATTTACTGACCAATAAATTGTGCTCGAAACGTGGTTGCATCAGTAAATATTACTGTATAACACTGTGACAGTTTATCAAAATAAATTTTATCCACAATGGAATTATACTCTACTACAGGGCACAAGTACTATTCTTATATTAACTGAGTAATTTAACCTCATGTAATTATTTAGGTATTCTAACCCTAACAATAACCCTAATCTTTCCTGAACCTAACCCTAAAGTGAAAATATCCCTAAACTAACTGTAATCGAATTCGAACCAACCATAATGTCGACTTTAATAGGTTAACTTAACCCCAACTTGTCCTTGGTTTAAACCATAACTTTATGTTTCCCAAGCCTAAGGTGAAACTTGCGAAATATCCCATTTAATAGCGCAACACTTCGATGGGTGTATTTTATTGGTGATGACAGTATTATTTGCCAGGTTTCACTGACCTGCTTAGTGAGCGTTTCAGGGTCATTGGTGCAGTCGCACTCCATTGGTGATAGCTAGCGGTGCTTAAAGTTTAACTTGGCGACGTTAGGATTAGGGTCAGTTTTAGGATTAGGTTATTTTATCATTATTCTTGTAAATAAACAGACAAATAAACGGGATGAGAGTCCTTTCATTGTTCATATAGATCAAACCATTTTTGATAGCTATGAGACTTGAAAACAGTCACCCTTCATTACAGTTGGGGGTGGGGTGTTTTTCAGTTACATCATGGTAAAATATTGGCATTGAATGTCTTTCGTTCTGTTAATTTTTCTCATAAGTAAACGGCTTTTTGTTGTAGAATACACGACAGGTCCTGTAATCCAACAAACGACATATGCTTTCACACTCAGCCGTCGTTATTTTTTAGTGGTAGTGTTGTTCCGCTTAAGATGGGACAAACATAAATTCTGCCTGATAAAGCTTTTGGAATCAGGCGTTAAATTTGAATTACAACAATGTTGTTTTGTCTTTCAATCGCCGGAATGAACAAAAATGATAAAGTTGATGAAAAATGAGCCATGATATTTCCTAGCACATCAAGTCTAAATCATATATGAGTAATTACCATGTACAATATTCCCTACAGATGTGTTAAGAGATTGAAATTGAAATTTTTTAAACAGATACTGCAGTCTATACTTAAACACCGCTCGGTGTTATTTTTTACTCTAAAACCCTTCAGAATAGTTACCAGAATGAATGTTGGAAACGTTAACAGTACTACTATTCGTTCATATATTTGGGTTTAGAATAGTGAATATTTTTTTTTATTGTGGTAACCGATGTAAAGGTAGAGACTCAGAGACACAGAAGCATATTAATACGTTTCAGTGCTACATTTGGTTAGGTAGTGTATCCAGTTGCAGACATGGTAATCGGCGTAAAATTAGGTGAACAGATAAAACTGGACATAAGTATGCGTGTTAAACGTCCCTAGTGTGTAACTTGCCAGTCATATGCGAAGTTTATGTTTGTCTTCTGCTAGTGCATTCCTGTACCTCTCCTAGTTTGCTAGCTAATAATAAGTGGGAAGGGGGAAAGAGAAAACTTTGGATGTGAGGTCAGCGATCCCACCCTGTGAAAACAACGCCATGCTACTGGAACTATATAAGTTTGGAGTTCTGTGATCTATTCTGTCATCAGGGGAAGCAGAAGAAGTTATGAGTTGATAACCGCTTTTTGTTGTATTCAAAATATAAAATAAATTTATTTCTAAGCTTGTTTAAGCTTCTGAAGCTTTCCAAAGCAGAGTTAGAATTAACTATACATTTCAATCTTTTTTTCAAAACGTTTCATTAGTTTACATTGAAACAGGATTCAACATTTAAGATACCATTCGTTTAAGAGGTAAAACAAATACCCTGCCTTAAGGTTGGTCAGTTTTCACTGGAAAGCAACATACGATTTGGAAGAGTAAAGATTAATCGACAAATATTTACTTCTGAAGTCGAATTTTATTGAGACTTTTCCCTGAGTACATTGAATGAATGATAGTTTTTTCTTGAGAGAGAGAGAGAGAAAGAAGGAGAGGCTTAACCTCGTCACCATGGTAATTTTCAGATGGAGACGGGAATTTGAAAGAAAGTATGCTTTCATAAATCTACTATTCTCACAGCTATTAAAAGAAATACGAAAAAGTGGTGTGTGTGTGTGTGAAAAAAGTTGGTTGTCTTAGCTGTTCAGACTAATTAGCACCCAAGCGCTAATGATTAAAAAGAGATGTCAAACTCCCAGTGGCATCCATTACTTACCGTCTATCTCTTAGGCTAGAAATGTTTTTCTAGCCTATAATTCCAAAGGATTATTTTTTGTTATTTTATTTCACAAAACTACTGATTAGATTTAAAATTATTAGTAGTAAACATGCACTCACCAGATTCACATGGATCAGACTTTGGTTCATTAAGGGTTAACTGTTCTAAGGGTGTGTCTTCTTCTCCTGGAGTAAAAAGGTCGCATCTCGCTCCACGATATTGGGAAATGCAACTACAAAAATGGCGCAGACAAAAAGGAAAATAAAACAGAGCAATATGGGAAGCATATATCTAGATTTCTATACTATAAAGGGATTTATATTGTTGAATAGCAGTGACGGGCTGATGCAAATTGTAAATTCTGCGAGTGACATACGTCTACATGCATTTTGTGCTACACAGTTCATATTTTTCATGAAAAGTGCGTAATGAGTTAGTGAGTATGGTATAGTTTGCATTGTCTTTTATTTAAGGATTTACCCAGTGAAGTTACTATGCGCACTATGGAGGTATTTGTTAAACGAAGTTATGTTTGCTAACATCTCTAATCAGTTGTCTGGGGGCGACAGTATCGAAAATCCAAGTAAATCAGAAGTCGATTGGCCGTTTTAAATACGTATACACACGCTGATCAGTCCTGCGGGCACTACTGCCATCAAGTTAATCGACTAAATTGTCCATCAGGTGTTTATCTAATGAGGAGAGCAACGTCTTGGAGTATTTCTACGGGTCTCTTGTTTTTTTTGTCACCTGAAATTAGATGACATGAAAGCAAACACTTCTACTAGATAAGATAAATAAAACTGGATGAATGATTTGGCCTTGTTATTTTTTTTTTAATGTGTATTTATAGAATTCTTTTAATTCAGAATTGTGCTTTCTCTCTTATTTCCTTCAATCTTGACAGATATTCGAAGAAACAACACATTGTTTCTGTATGGTTCAATGGCTATTTTGTTTAACAGTGAGAAAAACGCCTAGAACTTGTCATTTCGCCAGCTTATTTGGGTTGACTCCTTTCTTTCTTTTTGACTACAGCTTGATTCCACACCGTATTTTTGGTACAGGTATGAAATTTTCAGCTTGTGATATCGGTAGCCCGAATTTTACAGGCCAACCATAGATATCAGGTGTGCGTCGGCAGAGGATCGAACTCTGAACCATGTGCATGGTCGGCGACAGTCCTAACCACTGTGCCACCGAGGTAGATTGCTAGCTGACAGCAACAGGTGAATCCCACCAAACAACCACGCTGCTAATCAAGGTGATCATGTGAGTTGAATGTTGTGGATTAAAAGGCAGTGTTATTTGACACGGATAATGGGGATATATTGGCCGTTGCTCTTGGAACTTGATTTTTCATTCTCGAGAACATCTACCAGCATGGCTAAGTAAAGGTGTAGTGAAAACCATCAACAGTTCGATATTGGACCATCTGGTGCAAACCAGCCACAAAGCCAGCCAGAGTAGAAGAATCCTTCTCTACCATCTACCGGATGTCTAATAAATTGCCAAAATCATCGAAGCACTGCATGCTCCAAACAGTAGAGGCTACTGCAATTCGCCTCAAACAAGCAGTGCTCTGTGTTCAAAAGAAGCAAGTCAGGCCCCTACTATTGCCCCGGCCTTCAGTAGAAACTATAAACTGCGTCGGTGGCACAGTGGTTAGGACTCTCGCCGACCATGCCCATGGTCCGGGGTTCGAGCCCACGCCGACGCACACCTGATATCTATGGTCGGCCTGCAAAATTTGGGCTACCGATATCCATGCTGAAAATTCCATACTTGTACCGAAAATACAGTGTGGAATCAAGCTGTAAATCAAAAAAAAAAAAATTATCTTTCCTAATTTTTCTGACATTCAGCTTATTTTATGTTGATGCTATTGAGCTGTAATCTATCACTATTATTGATTCGATGTTATTTAAACAACATTAATGTTCTTCGTAACACGAATTCATTCATTCACTATAATGTATATATAACTGTAGAGCCTGATGATGAATTTATCGAAAAGAGTACTCTTTGTTCAGTATCCGTTCTTTGGAATATTTTTCTTGTGTTGCCACAATCTTTTTCTGGACTACTTTTCATTTTTTATTTATCAAAATCTCTCTACTTAGGGCATCAATCGTATATGAAGCTACCTTCGATTCATTGGCTTGAAATTAACCCAGTAAAACAAGATAAAAGTCTTCTCAACGAATTAGTGATAAACGTTTTAGTTATCCTGACATATTTGAACAAACTAACAAATCTAAAGTGAGTTGACGGGGTTTTTTTTAAACAATTATGTTCATACTGTGCCTCAGTAGAATGCTCGCCAACCACCTCGCATGTGGTCTGGGGGTTCGATCCCTGGTCGACGCATTCCTTAACCTCGTTTAACCGGTAATAAGTCGGGTGAAAAGGGAAGATTTGGCGTAAGGCTAGCAACCCTATTGAGTAAAAATAAAAACCTTTACTATTGAAACTTGAGACCACCTCAATCGTAAAGCCCTATTTCCCACTCGGGACGCAAAGGGAATAGGATGAAAATAACACATTCAGTTAACGTGACTGAAAATAAATCATGATTTACTAACATTAGTTGGGATAGAAATTGCCTCCCTTGAACTAATATTAATAACAGTAATAGTAATAGTAATAATAATAATAATCATAATCATAAAACACTGGTGTTTCGCATTCCACACGATAATGCTTAATTTATATGAATACCATTGCACAGTGGAATGAAGAAGGTTTGAAGAAAGAGAAGCAAACCAACAGTGGAAATTAGCGGGTAATTTAAAGCACTATAAATAAAAAGAAAAACAATAAATGATCATTTATATCATACTGCTAAATCTGCTTCGCGTACACTAGTTATGAGAAGGGAATTCGTATTAATAACCTTTCTAGTTATCATGTTACACAATCATTGTTACCAGGATTCAAAGGAATATCTCTGTCTTCATTAATTCATCAGTTATTTAGTTCATCTGTTCTGTGTTGTTCTTTATGTTGCGGTTATTAATTACAATAAAAAATATTAATGATAATAATAATATTAGCAGTGATAAATGATGGCGACAGGATTTCAAAATCAAGATGAAGCAGAATTTTTCACTCCCCATAGCCTTCTCTAAATAAATTATCCTGCGAATTCTCTGTTATTAGTATTATTAAGAAACACTTTTAGCTGGTTGATTGTGATGAGGATAGGGATGAAGAGGCCGTGAGACCACAGATTGAAAATAATGTGACATGCTGTTCACCCAATCAGATAATACAATATCACGTGCACTGAGAGATATTCATAAGATTCAGAAGGTATATCTAGTATACGTGATTTAACTGTGCAAAATTTCAGTATTTTTAAGAGGTGATTAAGATATACAAACATATGTTATCATAATATATATTATTGTTTCCTTTAGTCCCTAGAGGAAAATAAGGTTTCAGCCGCACGTCTTCATTGAGTTCGGTTTTCCGCGAATGTTTTCACCTGGCTCCACGTCTGCACACACTTTCATCTCCTCTTCACATCACCTCCTCGATGTCACCCACCCTCCCACTGACGACCAACTCGTTGCTTCCTGTTCGGGTTCCAGTCGAGCGATGGCCTCGCATGTGATGACACTCACTTGATGGATTGTTTTCTCAGAGTATTGCCAAACCAATCCACCTGCATTTCTTCTGGCATATTCACTGCACAGTTGGTTTCTTCTGGATTGGTTCGCTCAGTGCCAGAGATCAGATCCTTTCTGACCAGCCATCTGGTCATGAGCAAAGTATTGAGCAAAGACAGCTGCTAATGAAAGTTCGTAGTTTGCTCGAAGTGCTCTTCTTGATGCTGCGCCAAGTCTCTAATCCACATAGTAGCACTGAATTCACATTGGAGTTGAAAATCCGGATCATATTTTTCAAAGTAGGTAGGTAAAGGAGGTTGCTTCTTTCAGATTCCTCCCAATTATGTTGATTTTTGTATGTTGTTGTTGCTGTTGACCAGGAATCTCCATCACCTCGGTTTTATCTATGTTCACCTGAAGTCCTATCTTCTCTGGATGCTTCTTCTGCCAACTTGTTGCTTTTCACTTGCATATCTTTCAGTTTGTGAGAAATCAGACATATATCATCGGTGAAGTCCAGATCCTCCAAGTATTTTGTGTGGGTCCATTTGACGCCTGTTTCCTCGTTTCCGGCTGCATGTCTACTGCAATCAGAAAAATCATTGGAGATAGCAGGCAGTCAGCCGGCCTTTTCTTACTCTCGTCTTCACTTAGAAGGATTCCGTGAGTTTCTTGTTGTGGATAACTTGTAATGCAGCATTGTTGTACAACTGTTGGATGAGGTGTATAATCGTTGGTGGCACCCCGTAGTAGCGAAATAGTTTCCAAATCACTTTCTGATCGACTCAGTCGAAGGTCTTTTCAAAGTAGGATGAACTTTGATCAAATACGTTTTTTTTAGAACGTTTGCTGAGGAACGTTAATCTGCTGTATATGCCTAACAAACTATGTATAAAATCAAATCTCAGTGTTTGAAAGTGTATCATTTTGGAGGAGTGCATTGCGGAGTTAGTATTCTTACATATATATGTAACATAGATTTTACAGATTACCATGGAAACTGGTTTATCTAATACTTGATTACATTACCCTCTTTAATATTTCTTTTTCTTTTAACTGAAAGTGAAGTATAATTGTGGTCATAAAGGTGATGTAAAGCATAGTCCTATAGTGAAAAGTTATTCAGTATTGACTTCATTCAGGAGCGGAAATGTTGACCAGGAGGATAGTGTTATTGTTATTGTTACCAGTTGTTAGATGACTAAAACTGTGACTTAGGCCTGTGCCAGAACTGGTTCAGAATCATGCTTTTATCCACTCCAAGTAAAATACTAAGTCACATCATTCTGGAAAGAATTAAAGATACACTAGATGCAGAAATCCATCTGGAACAAGTTGGATTCAGGAAAAGCAAATCATATGCAGATCAAATAGCCACGCCACGCATAATCACCAAACAGAGCATAAAATGGGAGTCAAATCTCAACTTCATCGACTTTGAAAAGACCTTCGATAGAGTTGACTCGCAAGTAATTTGGAAACTGCCTCAACTCTATGAAGTGCTTCAAATATTTGTCATCTTTATTCGACAGCTATGTGACGAAGATATGTGTCAGGAGATCGATAATCGGGAACTCGGTAAAGCCTTTAAAGCTAATACAAGATTAAGAGAAAGCTG